ATGATTTTTTGGACCATTTTCGAGAGCAAGGCGAAAGGTCCTCTTCCGAGGAGTATGAGGATTCGGTAACCAAAATGAGCAGGGTGCCTGGGCGGGAGGCCAACATCAAAGCACAAGGGAGATGCTCCGGAGTAGCAATCAAAGAAGGAACTTTGTTAGACAAATGCCCCCAATTGACCTCAAGTTTCCATTGAGCAAAGTTCTTTACAGGCCAATTTGGAAGTGTTGGAAAGGAATCGGCTCCTGGAGCAGTATCGGTTGGTTCTTGGCCTCTAGAATGGTAACCGTCTGGGCTTCCATGGCACGGGAAACGGCATCGATGATAGGACAAGGCAAAAGGAAAACTAAGGAGGAAAACCTAGAGAAGGCTCTTCCCAACCTTACTATTTTCTTTCTCAAGAACTCCCATCAAAATTTAACTTAAACACAACCCACAGAAGGAGGAATCCATCTTCCTTTAGGTCTAACTTTTAAAGAAATCGGATTAGTTACCTTTTCCATATTTATAAAAACTCCCACTTTTGAAACACCCAGTCCATTGTTGGAGACAGAAAATAACTCCAGACTATATGTAAAATCTTATCTTTAGTCAACCTACCACTCAAGATAATGCCATCAAAGTTTATTCTATTTCTCTTCTTCCATAACTCCCATAGGCTAGCTGTTTGAAAAACTTTCCAGATTAACCTCTTGTTTTTAGGCAGTCCAGGTAAATTCAAATGCCCAATAATGTTCATATGGTCCCTTAGTATAACAACAATGACATCCCCACTAAATTGAATGCTCATTCCTAAATATTCGAAGCAAAAGTGTAATGTAAAAAGAAATGATCTCTTGTTTCCTGATTCCCCCACACATTAAGCAAACATAAACCAAAAATTTTCCTCTCTTTCTTAAATTATCATTAGTCAAAGTTCTACCTTGCATTGCAATCCACAAGAAAGCTTTTACTTTGTGAGTAATGGGCCACTTCCACACCTTCTTGAGCATAAGTTGCACCAATGGGCATGATCATGAAACAATAACCAATATACAAATTCCCTCATTTCCATCCTCCCACACTATTCATCATCTGCACCTTCAGAAAGATAGATACCTTACTAGTTCCTTCAAAAGTCCAGTACGTTGAGAGGTAACGACCTCTGGGACCCTATTATATACAAAATTAATATTCCCTATCCTTTTTGAGCCAACTAGCTGAGATAACTCATTTAACTTTAGTGGTTGGCTAAGGTACTCTAGCAACAAGCTTAGGATAACATATCCTCAGTGGCCTGTCCCCTAACCATTTTCTAAACCAAAATGGCACACAATCTACATTCCTAACTACCAACCTAAAGTTTGTCACTACAAAAGTTTCACCCCATGAAATCCCTCCCCACAGATAAGAAAGTTGGCTACCTCCCCTACTACAACATATGAACCGAGAATGCCAATCCATCCCATACTTTGCCACCAAAACACCAAAACTTGTTTCCTGAGCTGATCCTTACCCTCACATCATCTCCACTACTGTTTGGCTAATAAGGCTTCATTCATAATTTTAATTTTCTAATGCTTAAACCCTTCTTTTTTAGGAGTGCATACTTTATCCCAACTTACAAGATAATATTTTTTAACCTCATCATATAAACCCTAATGCAAATCATCCTCTTAATGATCTTCACAACCGAGCTTGGCATAAACATAATGAACATTTTATAAAGAGGTAAATTCACCAGCGGTGACTTGATAAGAGTAATCTTCCCCTTAAGGATAAGAACTTCATTTTCTAGGTATCCAACTTTACCTGGAATCTCTGAATTATGGGATCCCATGCAGCTCTATTTATCCTTGTATCTGAAAATGGCAGCCCTAATACTTAATAGGAAAATTTTCAACCTTACACCTCATTAAAGATGCAAAAGAGCTAAATATATCTCTTGGCATTCTACTGCGACCAAGGTAATTTTTCTCAAAATTAACTTTCAACCGATGAACCATTTCACAACATCTCAGAAACTTGCTAGCATTAAGGATATGATCTCCTTTGCATCACAAAAAACTAAAATGTTATCTGCGTGTTGAAGGTTGGATGTATTTGGACTACTGGAAACAACCTGAAAACCACAAAATCTACGTTTATCCTCCACATTCTCCAATTTTAGACTAAAGACATGCAACAAGAGTAAATAAGGAAGGGGAAAGAAGATCACCTTGTCTACTCTCTTTGATTGCTTTGAAAAAAAACATTTAGGACTACCAATTATTAAAACAAGAAAATGAGCATTAGAAAAGTCACCCATTTATCCACCGTATTTATGAAAATGGAGATGGCTTTTCATACGTTGTGCCACTTTTTTAGGAGAGGATCCCCTGGCCTTGCTCTCTAGCTCTATAGTTGTAGTTTAAGAACGATATTGTACATTCTTACAAAACAAACATTAAGGTATTTTCAGTCTTCGCCTGTTATTAGACTTAAAATTCACCATATGCAAAATATAGGTGGTCATGATAACACTGCAGCTGAGCATTAATTTCTTCTTGCAGGTGTATATCTTACTAAATTTGAATTACTCTTGCAAACAAACGCTAACTCTTCTTCTTCTTCTTTTTCTTTTTCCTCCCTCACGCCCCCCACCACTCTTCCAAGCGAACTGTATTGCTCCTCTCATTTGTAAAAATGGGAATGAAATGGATTTCAATTGATGCAAGTTTGCCACATTCTCACTTTTTCCCTTATTCATTTTCATTTTCTGATCAATTTCATTGAATCTTTGGTTGATTTTTATCAAGCTTCTTCTTATATTCAACTCAGCAGCATTCTCACTCTTCTTAATGTACAAGTGCTTAAAATACTAGCTTTATAAGCATATCCAATCATTTTAGAGGTCTAGCTGTCTTAATATTGGTAGATATTTGCTTTTATGTCTTCCGAATGTCTCACTTAGTATTGAACTGGCTTCAAGTCTCACAATGCTTTTTCACAATTAATCCACGGGCCTGGGTTGCTTGTCACTGTAAGAACATATCACTAAGTTCGCTCACTAGGATTACAGTTTCTATGCAGAGTTAATATACCTTAAGTTGCTTTGTATCTCGAGGGTCTGCAGTCTTGGCTTCTCTGATTACACCCTAACTTCTCTGATTACTCCATGCAAATTTTCCTTTGTTTTTTCTGGTCAGGGTTTCAATTCCAATTTGGATGTTCTGACAGTACACATCAGAGAGCTGATGCCTCTTACTGTCATTTCTACTCTTTGATTTTGTTTAGAACTCACTTAAATTATGTACCTGATTTGAGTCCACTGGTTTCACTAGAGACTCTTTCCTACAATGTTTTAAAAAAAAGGGTGCCACTCTAGATTTGTCTTAATCACTTGGTCAATACCTATCAAATATACGTAAACATGATTTGGAATAGTTGAAAAAGGGTAAAATGTTAAATTATTGAAAAGTCAGGTGTTTTTTGATAAATTCCCATAACAATGCACAAAAATTTTGAATTTATAAGATTTCAAATTCATATTTACTATTCTTCCAAAATTTTCAAGAGCTCAAATCACTCGGATCCAAATTCGATACCCAAATCTAGTTTGGGGGTTATGATTGAGATGTCTGCGGTAGCCTTGACAAGGATTGGAGGCAACTCGCACTGAGCACAAAGATTGGGAGTTTGGCCACAAAATTTTGGGTGAGTTTCATTTTAAAATTTATTTCAAATATTAATTTTTTTTTGTTTTTATGATTAATATTTATAATTTTCTCATATTTTAAGAAAATGATATTTAGCCTCTTATACTAATCTCCTACACGAACATAGTGTACATTGACTCCCTCCGTCAGAAGAATTGCTTGGGAAGATTTTTTCAACCTGAACTTTCCAGAACCCCTAAAAATCGTTAGATTATTATTCACAAAAGAAAAATATTGAATTTTGAGTTTTCTAACACTCAAATCTCATCCTTTAAAAATTGGACAACCTATTCAATATTGAGACATTATTCTTTCAAGTGAAAAGAGGGTGCAAGTAGGAAATTTTTTTCTCTTGAAGTTAATCTAGGGGTTGACCCAAAATTAAAATTAAACATTGATGGGGTTTTACCCAAGGGAGTAAATGGACAGTATGCTCCCTCAAGAGGATAATATCTTTTGGGCTTCTTTTGGCTGCTCGGTGACTCAAGGGAGTGGACTGGTACTTACCCCACTGCGCTCCTTGCCAGGGGGTGAGTTCTGTGGCAAAGCTGCTTATCTTTTACCAACACTATTGTACAACAGAGAGCAAAGAAGCAACTAGAACTAGCCACAGTGAAGATGAATAGACTGATTTAGCTCCACTAGAGGAAGTAAAGAATCCTCTAATAAGAAGAACGTTGCTCCTCGCCCCTTACAGGTCTGGGTTCAGCTTTGTTTTGAGAGGAGTCTTATAGGTGTCTTTCTAGTCAACATGTGTTTCTATTTATTTTTTGTTATTGAAAACTTAGCTAGTGACAATGTCACCATTCCCTTTCCTAATGGCTAATTAGGAAGATAACCCGCAGGAATCCAAAGGGCAAATAAAGAACAGTCTTTATAACTAGAAGTGGAAATGGGCCGGGCGGCCTAGGCCACAAAATGTGGCCGGAGGGCCAGGCACAGGCCCTGGACTGGGCCAACACGACCAGCCCGACCCAAAACTTCTTTTCTTCTTTATTTTTCGAGAAACTTTGATTGTATTTGGCTGAGCACAGCCTGTTTAGGGCCTGGCCTGGACCAAGACCTATTTGCTCAAGTGCAAGCCAAGCTTGAGCTGCCCTTATAGAAACCAGAATTGGGCTAGGGCAAGGGCTGGCCTGGCCCATCAACAGTTCTATTCATACCGTCGTTTTATAGGAGGTATCACCCAAGATATTGACATGAGAACAAAAACTGTTTCCAGTTAAAAGAGGGGAATTTTGAAGTAGTTCCCTAATCAAATAATTGATAGTTGTAAATATAGTTCTTTTAATACTTAACACTTGATGGTAAATATTCCACGACTGTTCACTTGATACTCCAACCAAGGCTTGCCATATTAAAGATAGTGTAGTGGTAATGCAAGTTGTAGTGGCAATGTCAACACGATTAAATAAATAAAAAGAGTTTAGCCATGAACTAGAAATTGTTCTCATTTCCATTGGAGGGCAAAGAAGTTTCCTCATCTACAAGGCCCAAGAAAGGTGCCAACTCCCCAAAGGATAAGAGGCCAATGCAAATAACAGGAGGCAATAGATCAGGACATGGAATAGCCACTAACCATAGCACAAACCAAAATTGCTGCTCCGCTCATCTTAAATACACCATATTTTCCTTGTGGGAAAGTACCTCTTAAAGCAAAATGGATTCATCTCATTGTGAACACCTTCTATTTACATCTGCTTCTGATGACGCTGATAGATTTGTATGAGATACGAGGCTTTGTTACGCACCTGTAAGGAATAGAAATAAACATCGTCTGTTCATATGTTTGTACAAAAATTGGCAATATAATGAAGTATGCGATCATATTGTTTACCTTTGAGGCATAGGGCCTCCAATCGGTGCTTGTAACTTGGCAGGAACAATTCCGGAGATACAGCATCCACATTTCAAGGAGAACTGGTTTTTCTTTTAATAAAGGATTAGACCAAAGCCACTTGTCCGTCAAAACTAGATAGATGTAGATCCGAGAAAAATCACAATCTTTTTCCCTGATCTTAATAGACACGAGTGATGACAGCACTTCTTCGGCATTTTTCCCCTTTAAGAGCGACAAGAATATGTGAGACACCATTGTGAAAAAATCAGAAAATAGGAAGATGGATAAAGAACAAAAGCTCAAGTGAAAAGGAAAATCCAGTTCATCATCTGAGAGAATGACATTTGACCACACCAGATAAGGATATTCATGTCAGACAATGATTATTTAAAAAAAAAAAAAGGATTTTGAGTTCTTGAATATCTAGATCATTCCAACCAAAAATTGGATGGTTCCAGTGCAATCTCAGGATGCCCTTTTTTTTTCCTTTAAGGTTGGTTGCAGGGCTCTAGAGATTACATCCCCCAAATTTGGGATCTAAATGATATCCTAGTGTAGGGGGAAATCTTTCAGCAAATATGAAAGTAAAATAAAACAGATAATGATGGTACACATACATACACCTTCAACTAGGACCTGTGTTCCAAAAGTGATCAGTTTGTGATTATGGATAGCCGAGTCTTGGGATGTCCATATGGACCCCAAAAAAAACAAAAAAGTAGCAAGAATAAAAAAGAAATAAACTGAAATATTATTTTACAGCATGCAATAACAACAAAAATCCTAATGAAATCTAGCAAAAAATGAAATGAATTGTATGATCTTTTTTAGAAAATCAGAGGCTTTTCAGAAAAATCATAAATGATAAAAAATTGAAAACACACAAAAAATGTGTTTTCAATCATGCCATACCATTGTAGATTGAAGATAACATTCTCTACAACAAGAAACCATCCAAAACTTGAATAAAGGACAACATATATGATTGGTATGAAAATTCAGGGTTTTTATAAAAAATTACAGGAACTTTTGATGCTAGATCTCTTCAACAGAGTGTTTGATTGAAGAAATTGTGTTAAAGATCTATTAGTGGGCTCCACTGTATGTTTTTTGAAACATTTCGTGAATATTAGTTGAGAAAGCAAGATAAACAAATAAATGGTGGTTCAGGGGTTTTGAGCTCAAACATTGCAAGTGTTTAATCTCTCAATCTAGCCAAAAATATGTTTTGATCCTAAATTTTTTTTAGGGATACTATAGATCAACAAGATGTTGTGATTTGAGAGGACTTGGAAAGGTCCCTTACCTATTCCAGTTCGAACAAGGAAAACCAGCCAATGCAGTCTGAAATCTGAAACCATGACATGAACTAAATATTCTATGCTATCATTTGGGTTTTAAACAATTTCCTGCACTTTCCTAGCTGTCCAATGTTAGCAAGGAGCAGTTTGGGTGAAAAATTTTACTCCACTTGAATTCTGTCAGAATTTGACAGACTTTGAGTCGAGGAATGACATATCCCAATGCTGCAAATCAAATTAGAAGATGGGATGATTGAATTTTACTTTATTGTTTATTTATTTAATATTGAGGGGCATGGATGCAATTTTTTATTATTGTTGGCTGAAATTTTGGACTTGAACAATTTGTTGTCTTTTGGGGAGCAGGGGGGTGGGTTAAAGGGGAATTTTATTTACAGTTTATTTCAACTGGCAGCTCGCAGGATGAAAGGGGAGATTCTTCCCTTCAGCGAGCCGCATAACCCTCAACTTTCCAATATTCCCATTTTCCAAATGTCCCTCTTCCATATGTAGCAGCCTGCCTTGAACAATTGATGAAGATCTTCCTCTGGTCGGGTGAGGGAAGAGAAATACCATCTAATCTCATGGGCCAAAGTTTGTTTGCCCAAGTCCCAGGGTGGGCCCGGCATCCACAATCTCAAATCTAACAACATGGCTCTCTTAGGGAAATGGTGGTGGCGAAGTGATTAGAAGCAAGCACTATTGTGAGGACTCGGCTTGGTTGCCCAGGTGAAGGGCCAACAACAACTCCTCCGGTCTGTGGAGATCTCTACTCTGAAGCTTCAATCCTTTCGAGGCCAACATCTAGTTTAGACGTCGACATCGAAATAGGGTCCTCTTCTGGTCCGACCTCTGGATTCGCTACTCCCCTCTGAAGGACAGTTACCCCAAACTTTTTCTTCTTGCTAGGGACCCCCAGGCAATTGTGGCAGAAAATTTTGGTAACACAGGCTCAGCCAGGGTGTGGAACCCAAATTTTAGAAAGCCTTTTGAGGGACATTGAGGTTACTGACTTCCTTTCAATGTCATCCTTCCTCCACTTAGTCCTTCTCCCTTCCACTGAGAGCAACAAGATTATCTAGTCGCCCTCTCCCTCCAGGGTTTTCTAAGTGTCTTCCTTCTACAGCTCCATCTAATCAAACCCCCACTTACCAACGTCAACCCCCAGCCACCGCCACCAAAGTGTGGCAGACACTACTCCCCCCCAAAGTGCAAGTTTACAGCTGGATAGCAATATCTAAGAGAGCACTCACCGTAGACCAGCTCCAAAGGAAGGGAGTCCAGATTGCAAACAGACACACCATGTGCACAAATGATGTTCAAACCAACGCCCTTGTTTTTATCCACTGTGAGGTTGCTAGCACCCTCTGAGTATGCCTCTGGCGACTCTTCAATTGATCGTGAGTTACGCCACAGTCAACACCACACCTCTTCTGCTCATTCCACTCTCCTCCAATGTCAAAGTCCGGGATCCTTCTCTGGTGGGTAGCCATCACTGCCACTTTGTGGGTTATCTGGACCGAAAGAAATTCCAGTATGTTCCATGGCAACAAGTCATCGATCGAGGCTCTCAAGGATAAGATCAAGACCCTAGTCATCTTTAGGGCAAAAGAAGCAAACACTTCCCGCACTGCTGCTACTTGGATTTCCACCAGGACTGATTGGCACTACTCCATCTCAGGCCCCAGCAAATTCCTCGTGCCTCCCTCTGGAGGCCACTGGAGCTCGGCCAAACCAAACTCAATTTTGACGGTTGCTCCTTGGGTAAGCTAGGCCCTGCAGCCATTGGGGGCCTATTCAGGGACAAGGATGGCAGCATCCTATTCTCTTACTCCTGCTCAACTGGTCATGCTGACTGCAACATGGTTGAGGCTTTATCTCTCCTTGAAGGCCACAGAAGCTTCAACCCCACCTGGAGCCCAATGTTGGTAATCAAGGGGACTCCAAAATTGTTAAGTCATGGGCCTCTAAAGCCTCATCTTGCCCATGGAGACTGGACGGCATTTTAAACTAAATTTTCCAAATTTGCAGCGATATTCACATCTCATGGAGGGAGGGAGCTCACAGATCGACTCTTTGGGGGACCTTTTGAGTGACTTTTGACCACAAAACCCCCAACGTTTTGTACACTTTTAGTTTTCGCTTTTGCCGTATAGCATTTTTTGACACCCAGCAGAGGTCGCCACCATTTTTTAGACCTTGTTGTACAGGGTACCCAGTTTGTGGGTGCCTAATCTATAGCTTCTCTCTTGTATCTTTTACTTTTAATCAGTGGTTTAAAAATCGCCGAGTCCGCACGGACTAGGGTCATTCGACACGGGAATCGGTTACCCCGTGTCGATTCTAGCTCAAAACAGGAAACCGCCCGTGTTTAGAAAGGAACCGGGCGAGTCGGGTGATTTTGACGTCACAAAACAGATTATGATGTCACAGAACAGGCGAGTTGGGCGATGACGGATTATGACGCGGCCATGTTGCCACATGTGCCTCTGTCAGCTTCACACTTGATCAAGCTTTTTGCGCACGCGATAAATCATGGTACCAAGGAGGGTTTTATGGACCTCAAACTTCTTTCGTTTTTTTACTTGGGCAGCACTGTCTTTTTTTTTTTTTTGTCAATAAGAGGGGTATGCGCCCGGCATTAAAATACATGATTAAAAAAAAGAAATAAAATTATTAAAAATGATAATTGGGTGATAGAGCCCACCACACCTATCTTTCACCAAAAAAATTTAAATTTACTTATCAAAAAATCAAAATAAAGAGACTCATACTATTAGGCTATTATCTCATGGGATTATTTTATTATATGATTAATATTAGACTATTAGTCTAATTAGAATTAAAAAAAAATAGTACTATCTCATAGGCTCTTAATAAAAGCAAAAAACAATACTAATATTAGTTTATTGAATATTCAAAAAAATATTAGTTTATGAGATATTTTAAGAGAGAAAAATAACATTAACTTATACCACTTAAGAATTTATTTTTAAGTTACTTTATCAATTACCCTACATTGAAAGCATGAATTTATTTATTTATTTTTTAATTCTATATTTCTATCCACACTAATTATTATATATTAGATTTATTTATTTGTGAAGGTCATACCCTTGTCTTTCGAATCACGTTTCTTATAATATTGTAATTAATAATTATACTAATTACAATGATAACAAAGTCTTATATTTTATTTATTAATTTATTTACATTATAAATTATGCAATGTATTATTTTTTATTATAGTTGTAAATTAGATTTTTTAAATTAGATGATACAATAAGACAAATTTCAAATTTATTCTTATTTGTATAGTAAAATGATGATAAAATAATAAAATACAAACCAATATTTTTAATTTCAATGTATAATATTGTATTTATTTAGGTTTTAATAAATGTTTTATGAGAATCTTCATATAGGGAAAGATCATCTCAATATTCGCATATTGATACAAAAAATGAAAGTCATTAATGTAGTACCCTCATTTCTTATTGGATTCCTAAAAAACAATATTTATAATGATTTTTAATAATTTTTTTGAAATTTTTTAAAGCCAAATTCGACTAATTCAACCGATTCCCGATCCGAAACGCCGATTCACCGATCTGGATGGGTTTTTGGGGTGCCCGATCCGGGGCACCGATTCGATTTTTAAACCACTGCTTTTAATTGAGTACTTCAGCTAACACTATTAAAAAAAAAAAAGGCAAATTAAAGAAAAGAAAAGGACAAAAGTAAAAGTAAGATAGTAGAGAATAGAAAGAGCGCGAAAGAGAAGGAAGAAGAAAGAGGAAGAGAGAGAGTGAGAAAGAGAAAGAAAGCGGCATGTTGGTGAAGAATGACCAGCACACACGTCTTATTTGTATTAATAAAATGAACTAATTAGAATACTGCCCATGCACAATGAAATAGGACATATAAGTCCTACAGAAAAATTGAAGACATTTATACCCTCAAATATAACAATAATTAATTATTTCCAATAGTTTTTCCTTTCCCATGCTTCCAGCCATGCATAATAGTTATCCCAGGCCATCATATGGCCTTATAGTAATCAAGCGATAGATCATCTTCGGCCACCTTCTCATCTAAGCAAAGGCCCTATGAGCTCATGTGATGTTGGGTCTTGAATCCCGGCAATGTATCTGCTATAGTGGTTAGCATCATTTGATAATATTCATTAACCACTGCATTGAATGGGATCACAATGTTATAAGATCACCTATGCTACAGCCTTCTATAATCTATTTTTATTGCTCCTTCCCATGTAGACTTTAGGGTCCTATGGTTTGCTTCGGGCCCATATGGGAAGGGGTAATTCAATGTTGGGCAGCCTTAGCTGGTTGGGCAAGCTAGCATTGGACATCATTGGAAATGCAAAGTAGTATGCCTATGCTTTTTAACAAAGTTGGAAGACCTGAATGGTCTTGGGATTCCTGGCACAAACACACTCTTCCCCCAAGCCAAGTACTAGTTTGGGAGATAATGGACAGGTGGTTCTTGTTCCCGAGGACCCCATGCCCAGGGTGGCTTGCTGTCTAGAATACATGCCTTCTAGATTAGCCCACCTTGCTTCCTCACAAGAAGGCCCATAGTACTCTCTCCTGTTCTCCTCACTCACCTGTCTTTGAACTATCTTTCATTTTGTTGCTTGGATATCATCTCTTGTTTTACTTGCACAAGCTCACTTGGACAAGGCTGCACCTTGAATATTTGCAGGTGATGTTTAAGGCAGGCAATTAATACTGCTTGATATCTCCTTCACACAATACATGCACTTCGCCCACCCTGTACCCCGAGCCGACCTCACCCCATATTTTTTTGAGAATATTCACTTATATTGGAATGCCACCCCTCGCGACATCTCTTAAACCTACGAAAATAAGCATTGCTTTCTTCGGAGAAAATAATTACTCAAGGAACAAAGTCACTTATAAATCCCAACCACAAAATATATGGGGAATGATTTCATATCACTGTGTTGTTGTAATACAATTAAACCACACTTCTAGAAACCATGTATGACCTCAAATTTTGCACACATACTCTCTTCATCCCAATAATCAATGCTAAAAAAATAAAATTCAATTTGCGCTGTAGATATGGTCAGAATGACTCCCCTCCAACAATAAATCTACACCATCCATTTGGTATATTTCAAGATCTAGGCCTTTATGAATTCAAAATCAGTCTTTTTTGTTTTTAAAAATTTGTTAATCTAATGAAAGTAAAGCTATCTTAAAAATTTGGAATGGAGAAAAATATTCTAAGGCCTACGCACCTAACTAAAATGGATGGCCTATCTTAAAACACTTTTTAGGATGTGTTTTCAAATTTTGCCTTTTGGTTATTGTTCATTAGAATGAAAAGAGTGTATATTTAAAAATTAGGGGTACTAACAATTAGGCCTTAACTTTGAATTTTTGGAAGTTTGTACGTGGGTACGGGNTAAGGGTCGAACGTCAACGGGGGGTATAGGTGATG